TCCAGATTGGTTCTGCCCATTCAAAAAAGTCCTTCTTGGGATATGGGGGTAGACAGGCAGAGGGGCACCAGAATCAACCTCTCGCTATGGTACAAGGCAATTCCCCTTATTCTGTAAACTTGCCAAGGTTTCTGGAAACTTTTTGTATGGGCAAAGATGCCCTAAGAAAAGAACTTGCTTGGGTTATAGACAATGAACTTGGTTTGCTGGGAAGTTGTGAGTTTATGTACAATAGATAGAAATGATTTCTAGTGATTGGCTTTTACACCAGAATGAGTTTAAATTTGAGGAGGAAAGATGTTAAGCGAAACCTCTTATGTATGTGAGTCCTGGTAAATCTCTCTTGCTTATTGCAACTCTATGAGAGTACAATTAACTGTATCTGACTTTAAGCTGTGATCAGTGAAACTTGCTGTTTGAGATAAAAGGCTTTTGGGACTATAACTAATTTTGTTTTGAATTTGAATTTGGGTATAGTTGTCTGCATTAAATCAGTATCTGAAAGAAATGTCACAAGCTACTCAGAGGGAATGTGATCCAGTTCTGTTACCCAGTGGAGGACTGCATCTGGGAAAAAGCCATGAGGACAATCTTAGCCTAGATCTAGGATGGGATCCTCCTGGCTCAGTTTCCCTATTGTGTTCCTTTGAGAAGGAATGTTTCTCACCTGACTATTCCTCAGTCTGGCTATTATGTGGAATTGGTGCTATACAATTGGAGAATTGTGACTCTTATTCAAACAGAGCCAAGGATGTTTCATCCTGTTGTATAACAACTTTCTATAACAATATTGAATCTGTTAAATCATAAATGGATACTGGAACATATCTGAGTTATTATAGTAGGATGTGAGAATAAATGGTTTACAATTGATAGGTATCTAATTCTAGAAAGGGAGGATAGCAAACTTTGAGACACAGGTGTGTATGATTGGCTTCTGAAATGTGTCTCTCATGGAAATTCAAGCTTAGCTACTTATGTGAACCAAAAGTCACCAAAGTATTTAGGTGTGTATTGAAGTTTGTTATTAATTCCTTAGAGAATATATGCAGTCTTTGGCAAGTTATCTGTTTTCTTTACAGAATAAAGGAATCATTGCTCAAACTCCACCGCTGGGGTTTCCTGTGCCCAAGTTCCAGCCTGGTGATTAGATTCACGTCTGAGTGTGGAAAGAGGGGAGTTCACTCCAGGTGCTGCTCACTACAGAACTGTGGTATGGACTAAAGAGAAAGGTTGGACTCACTTATACAAGAGTGAAAAGACCTGTCTCTGCCCTGTTTAAATTGCTGGAGCCTGAGATTTTCAGGAGGGTGACTCTATCTGATAAGTCTCTAAGAAGCAGAGGGGACTTTTTCTTAGTTCCCTTAAGGAAGTAGGAAAGAAAAGCAGAAAGAATTAGAGCAGGAATTGTCACCATGTGTCTCTTTAAGGGAATATATAAATTTGTGGAGAGTATTTCCTTTTAAAGGGTCAAGAGTATTGGATTTAAAACAAAAATGTTTTTAAACGTTTATCATTAGCAATTATAAATTGGGACCTGATTTGATTTAAGTTTACTGTTTTATAAAGGAAAAAATAATAATAGTTGTTATGGAAAATAAATTATTATATAATGATTGTAAAATGCTTAATACAATGGCATATGTTAAATGCAGAATTAATATTATTTAATATAATTGTTAAAGGTACCAAGAGTAATAAGAGTGATAATTTCTATACATGCTAATCTGGAAATGCAATTGCTGTTATCTGAAGTTTATTGTTTGTGTTACAAAAGTTATTACTGTTTCTAAATTGTATTGTATTTCTAAAACTCTTAGATTGTAAAATTTGAGGGATCAATGTGAGGTAGAAATGGTGTTAAAGTAACTCTTGACCTGAAATGGGTCTTTTAGTCATAAAGATGAGATAATTTGAAACTGTTAAATACCTAGTGAGGTATATCTGGTTATAAGACTACGATAGCAGATTTTCATTTAAGATCTTGACTATTATAAAAATATATGGTGGTTTAAAGTTATAGTTTCAACATATTAATGATGAGGTGAATGATTCTCTGTGCAAAATGATTTGGGAGTACATTCATCTAAATTGATAATGGGTTGTTTCCAAGTTTATTACAATTGTGGAAACAATTTTGAATGTATGCCCTGTGGTACAAACATATTTTATTGTGAAAAACTTATTGATATGTATTGATTTGGAATTAATGAAGTATTCTCACATATCAGGGTCTCAATTAGAAATTTAATTTTTTTTTCAATGCAGGCCTTCTTTAGGCTAAAGTCTAGGTTTGTTGGGGGATGGGCCATATGGGCCAGGCTTTCAAGGCAGGGAATAGCTTGTATGGGGAAATTGGCCAAGGGTGTTGATTGGGAATGTCAGTAAGGTTGTCTGAGGTTATCAGACCAGTAAGAGACAATGAAGGGTTAACATAGATAATAGATAATAGAAAAAAAAGCCAGTCAATAGGGGTGGGAGTGGCCCCAGGAGACTGTTGAACCTGGTGGAGGAGTTCAGAATGAAAGGTTTTTTTTTTTATTTCTGATAATAATTAATTGGGTCTGTTTCAAGTTTTTAATATACTGCTTACATATTTCTGAATTTTCTTATATGATGTAATCTGGTAAGCAATTGTATTAGTTACATTTTTGAAAGGGCAATTTCTCTTATAATCTGGAATGTTGTTAGATTAAGAATTGTGCCTTCAGAGAAAGAGAAAAACGAATGAATCGGGGCTGTTGGGGCATTCTATATGGTCCTGTTCTGTAACATTTCCTTTTAAGTACTGTAATTTAAGAAATGAGAATTTCCAAGTTTTGTCTGTTTAAAGGGAAGTTTTAACTGGGATTATTTGGCTCTCACTTATGAAGTTTAAAATTATTAACTACGCTATTTGGAGTTATTGTTTAAGTCAAGCACTGGTAAAAGTATTTTGTGTGTGTGTGTGTGTGTGAAAAGAAACTTGGTAATTATGCAAAAAAAGGGATTTTGTAAAATCTCATAATTCTTACACAGACACCTTTTGAATAGAGAATTTAGGTAACTAGGAATTTTATGGTAATTAGGGAATTACAAGTTGTTTTTAACAGAGGGAGATACTTTCATGAAGAAAATGTTTTGATGAAATCTTTGATATTCTTTTAGAAGGCCTACTAAATGTCTATTTGTAAGAAAATCATGTCCAAACCTACTATGAACTTAGAGTTTCATTCCTGGGTTTGTTGTGTCTTTGCATTGGACTTAACTGGGTGCTTATAGAGAAATAGTCTCAATGGAAGCAGCGTCAGAGATCTAAGGCTAGTGATTAATACTAAAGCATATAAGCTGTAAGTAGGAAAGATCTTACTATTTTGATCTGAATTCATTCCATGGCCTAGCAAGAGTTAAAATTACTGTTTGAAATTATCATATGTGTAGGATTCAAGTCCTGAAAGTGTCTCATTCTTTCAGATTAAGAATAGTTAGAGAGGAATAAATAAGCTTGAGAAACAGAGAGGCAAATTCATTTAGAGTAGCAACTTATGATCTTAATGGAAATTTGGTTTTACTCAGGATGTTATTAGGAACCAGAACATGTGCAGGAAGTTATACAAACTACTTAGAGCTCACTTTGGAGATGTTCCCTAATTAATGTGAAACTATATTCCCACTTGAAACACTGATAAGGGGAATTTGCTATCTAAGACCTTGGGAACTGTTAATGAACTATTATTCTGAGTCAAACTTCAGGGAACTGATTGAGCTACTGACCCATGATGTCAGCAACTTGCAAAAGAGGTTTGTGACCTGCATCTATGAGCTGTAAGAGGGTGTTCTCATGGGAAGGTTGGGAGAATGACTTTTCTTCATGGCTGAGGTAGGAGTCTCCTGACTCAATTTCCCCACTATGACACCTGGCAAACTTTAAACCTGGCTCAATGTGATTGGTCATTATAGAACTTCTACCTGGAATTGACATGAATCTGGGGAAGCATTGTCCCCTTACTTTAGTTATGTCCCTGTTCTTTCATGGCAAATTCCTAAGTTTTGTAAGCATAAATTTCAAATCTATTAAATAACAGATTGATTCAGGAATGTCTGAGGTTATTGTAAACATAAGATTGAGTTATTTGGCCTAGAATTTCAGAATTAAGTATTCAGTCTTGACATCTGTTACTAGTATATTCCTGTATAAGTCAGGATCCTTAAATTTCTCATAATGGTTATTTGAGATCTAGAGGTTTGGGGGTGTTGGGACCCCAAGATCACAGAACGAGGGTCCCACCTGAAGGAGTTAAGCCCAGGTCTTTCAGCCCTGGGGGAAGTTCGTTGAAGATAAACCATATAGGCCAGGTGACACCCATAAGGATGAGGAGGCATGAGAAAATCTCAGTGTTTAAATGGGGGCTCCAGGTGGAAACAAGTACTATGGTTCTTACTTATTGCTATAAGTGGGGTAATACTTCTTCCTGTCTGCTTGCCTTGTATGGTGCAAATAATCACACAAATAGTACAAAACTCAGTACAAAAGATGCTACATGTGTCAGCTAGTGGGGAAATTAAAATCATGGTGATGAAAGCTCAGGGGTGGATTCCTCTAGAGACTGTGGACAGAATTGAACCTGAAGGCCATAATGAGGAAAGCCTAATAGATGAAGTGTATCAGCAGTGGTGTGAGGAAACTGCAAAGTAATGATAAAAGAATGGGGGAGATTGTGAGAGATGGCCTAAAGTGCAGTTCCCTCAGGCCTAAGTTTCACTCTTCTAGAAAACCCTGAGTTAAGTTTCCCTTTCTCAAAATCCATGTCACCACAGGCAGTTCTTGGTGGCTCCCACTTCCTGGTACATGCATACATCTAGTTCCCAAATATGGGCATGTTTGCTCCTATTGGACATTAGTTGCTGAGTGTAGGTTGTATGCCTTGAGTACCCAGCCACTGGGGGAAAGTGGGAGGGGGTATGAGTTGGGGCTATAAAACTTTGCTCCTCACAGTCAGCAGGTGCACTCCCTGGCTGCTGCTGCTTGAGCAACAAGGGCTGAGCCCTTTCCCATGAGAAAGAATAAAGACTTTTTCTGATCTCTGGAAAAAAAAAAGTGTTTGAGGTAGGTTTTGAAAACAGGCTTTACTAACTCCAGGCTTAACCAGCTATCTGCCTTTATGTACCCTAAAAACCACATTTTACAGCAGAAGATCCTGAAGTACAGAAAAAATTAATTTAATTGTCTTGTCAGTTATATATCCATGATTTGACATAGGCAACATTTCAACTGCGTGCTAAACTTAACACATACAAGAAAAATTCGTTGTCATAGGAGAGCCTTTAAGACAATTTTGATTTCCCAAATTCATTTATTTTTTGTAATCAGCAAACACTAACATGTCAGCCAATCAAAAAACAAATTTGCTAACTATTTACTATGTGCCAAGCATTGTGCTAAGAACTAGGGATAAAAAGAAAGACAAAGACATGGTTTCATTCCTCAAGAAATTTTCATTCCAAAATAAATTAGAATGTAAAAGGTACTTTTGCGTAGGAAAAATATAATTTCAGGTGGATTTTAAGCTGAATTTTGAAGGAATCCAAGAAGCCAGGTGGTAGAAGAGTAGAAGGAGAACATTCTAGACAATGAGGTTGACCAGATAAAAGGCATAGAGATGTGAGGTCCAGCATCATGTGTGAGGAACAGCAAGTAGGCCAGGGTAGCTAGATCCCGAGTACATAGAAAGAAATCAAGAAAGATAGGAAGAAATCTATTTGTAAAGACCTTTAAATCCTTAACAAAGGACTTTTTTTTTTAATTCAAGGAGTAATGTAGTAGGGAATAGCTGCAATGTATTAAATAAGGAGGTTTCATGGTTAAAAGTGCTGTTTAGGAAAAATCCCTTGGCAGCAGAAGTAAGAAATATAGGAGTGATGAGAGGCATGAGGCAGGAAAAACAACTAGAAGATTATTGCTATACTGCAGGTGAGATGTGATGATCACTTGTACTAGGATAATAGCTGTGTGAGTCAGTCACTCAATAAACATTTATTAAGTGGTTATTATGTGCCAAGCAACAAGTAAGTGCTTGGGATACAAAAAAAAGCAAATGATAGTAGCCCCCCACCCACCCTGTGAGGATGTCTCTGATGGCTACTCTTTCCAATTCAAAGCAACAAAAAAGTAAATTAATTCATATAGTATTTTCATTTTTATTATATTAGCTCATCTTACCCATAAGCAATTAATATTTCTCTAATTATTTAGATTTCTTTATTTGTGTGGAGTGTTTTGCCATGCGGATGTACTTCCAAGTATTTTATACTCTATGTAGTTATTTTAAATAGAATTGTTCTTTCTATATCTTCCCATTAGTAATGTACAGAGATGTTGATGATTTATGAGATTTACTTTTTAGCCTACAACTTTGCTGAACTTTTTTTTTCTTTTTTAAAATTAATTTATTTATACTTACACATCAAAAAAAGAAAAAAAGAAACACATTATAAACTTTAATACTAAACAAATACAAAATAAGAAAAAGGAGAAAAGAGCATTATATGTACACAGCAGAACGTAAGAGAGGATTCAAAATATACAGCAACAAATTTTCATTTCCAGAATGCCTATGTAATAAATATCACACATTGTATTCAGAGCTGTCCATATTTTCTTTGCTTCCTTGTAAGTTTTCTTTTGTTTTCTGCTGTGCACTTCTCACTTTTTTTCTTTTTTTTCCCCTTCCTCATGCTCTCCAGAAGGCTACAATTAAGTGTGGATATATAGATATAAAATATACACACACAAACATATGTACTCTCTCTCTCTCTCTCTCTCTCTCTCTCTCTCTCTCTCTATATGCATACTTATATACATGTACAAATATACACACATGTATACATACATACATGCACATACATATACTTAGATACCCATTATCATATATAATGTATATATATATTCATATACATCCACGTAAGACCATACCATACATTTTTGTCCTCTGTTTCTCTGAGGGTGGCATAAGTCCAAGTTTTTCCATATTTTTCTAAGTCCACCAACATGTTATTTCCTAGACCACAGCAACTTTCCAACCTTATCCTGTCTAGTTATCTTAGTCTAAAATGATATTGATTAATATGGCTGACATGTAATTTCCCTATTTTTCTCTTTTATTAAATCAATTTTAGCTTTAATTTTGTCTGAGATCATGATTAACATCCCTGTTTTTTCCTAATAAATTCTACTTCTTACCTTTATTTTATGTTTGTGTGTATCTCTTATTTCTTATCCTGCCTCACCCCTCTACTTTACTTCTACCTGCTAGCTTGCCCTCCTATTACTTAACCTACCCCCCTCCAAAGATCCATCCCTTATCTTCTCCCTACCACCCTTTCCCTTTGCCTTCTTAATTCCCTCTGAATTTAGAAGACTTTTATAGCCTTCCAAATAAGTATGTTATTCCCTCTTTATCCCATTTCCATTAATCTAGACACCCTTCTACACTGCCCTCTTATCTGATTCCCTCCCTCTTGTTTCTTTATAAATTAAGAAGGCTTTCATTCCCTGCTCAATGTATTTATTGTTCTGTCTTTATCACAAATCTGATGTGAGTAGGGTTGCCTTTAAAAATCCCTCACTTATCCTCTCTCCCATCCTATCCCCTTAACCTTTTATTTCTTTCTGAATTTAGAAGACTTTTATACACATATATGTATATATGGAAATACATACATATATGTGTATTCATATGCATGTATATATATGTATGTATGTATGTATGTATATGTATGTATTGTTACATCTTTAAACCATTCCCAATGAAAGCAGGGTTACAGAACTACCAACCATTCCTCCCCCATCTAATTCCTCTGTATTAGTTCTTCCTCTTGTACCTCATTTGTATAAGATATATGCTCTTTTTACCTTTTCCTAAATAGTTTTACTTTTTAGAATCACATCTTACTCAGGTGTACCCCAATCTTTTTTTGGACTACCCAATCACTAATAAAAATCTCAGACATATGTTTTACATTTCCTCACATAAAAAAGAAAACAGTCTGTCCTCATTAAGTCCCTTGTAATTAGTCTTTGATGTGTACCTTATATTTCTTTTGGATCTTGTATGTCAAATTTTCTATTAAGTACTGGGTTTTGTTTTTGTTTTTTGGCAACAAAATCCTGAAAATATGGCAATTCATTGAATGTTCTTTTTTTTCCATTCAGGATAATGCTTAGCTTTGCAGAGTATGATATTTTCAGCCACAACCCCAGTTCTTTTGCTCTTTAATACATAGTGTTTCAAGACCTGTGGTCTTTTAGTGTCACTGCTGATAGGTCTTGTGTGATCCTAAATGTGTCTCCACCATTTTTGAATTCTTTTTTTCTTGTTACTCATAATATTTCCTCCTTGAGTTGGGGGTTTCAGAATCTGGCTGTGATATTCCTATAGGTTTTCTTTGTAGTATCTGTGTCAGGTGGCAATTGATGGAATTTTTCTGTTTCTACTTTCCCCTCTTGTTCTATCACTTCATGACAATTTTCTTTAATTATTTCTTGTATTATTGTATCAAGATTCTTTTTTTGATGGTAGCTCCACAGGTAGTCTGATTATTCATATGTTTTATCTTCTTGATCTGTTCTCCAGATTATTTGTTTTTCTTATGAGATGTTTCACTTTCTCTTCTAATTTTTCACTCTTCATATTTTATTCTGTTATTTCTTGCTCTGTTATAGCTTCACTGGCTTCCCCTTGCCTATCTTTAATTTTCATGGAGTCATTTTCCTCCTTAAGATTCTGGATCTCCTTTTCCGGTTGATTGACTTTCTTTTCATAACCTTCTTGGTTTTTGTTTTTGTTTTGTTTTTTTTGGATTGTCCTTATTTTCCTTTTTAATTTTTCCTCAATCTCTCTCATTTGATTTTTAAAGTCTTTTTTAAAGTTCTTCTATGAAGTCTTTTTGAGCATGTGATCACTTCATATTACTCTTTGGAGTAGGAGAGGTAATTTTTTGCTTCAATATCCTCCTCTGAAAATGAATTCTTGTCTTCTCTATTCCTATAGTAATAGGAATATTTCTACAGTTGGGTTTTTTCTCCTTTGCCTGCTAGTTTTTTAAAATTTATTTATAGGAATTTGCTATTGTAAACACCTCTAGTCTTGGGGTATGGGGAATGGTCTCTCTTTAACCTCAGAGCCTTCTTCAGTTCTCCCTTCTGGCCTGAGCAAGAAACAAGAACTACACCCTCCTGTAAGTGCCCACAGCCAGTAGAGTCCCTGCCCCACTGCTTCCGCATTCACTTTGTGTCTGCTGGTTCCTTCGTCCCTACGGGTGCATCTCAGCAGTACTGTTGGGCCTGGTATCTGTTATCAGTAGAGGTTCCCTCAGTCTTCCCCTGCTCAGATGCCCAACTCCCCACACTATTCAGGAGGTGAAAGTTTTTGTGCTTAGTGTAGTGACTATCTCCTAACCCAGGGCTTGCTGCTTGCTGTTTCAGGGGAACTGGCCTAGAGGTGTTTACTGTTTACAGGGACCAAACCTCAGTCCTGTTATTTTTCTTCTGATTGTCCCTGGAGGACTACTGTTCTGCCCCAACTTTTGCTTGTTTTTATCACTCTAAGTTGACCCTGAGGCACTGTTTTGTCTTGTTTGTGGGGGAAATCTGGAGAGCTTGGAATTTTTTGATCTACTCCACCATCTTCCTGGGAATTCTCTACTGGTTTATCTTTTAAAAAAATGCTCCCTTCTTGTATTTATTTATTGATGATTAAAAAATATTTCATTTTGTTAACCTCTCTTTTGATTTTCAGGATTTCTATTTCGGCGTTTAATGGGGGAAGTGTTGATTTGTTGGATTTTAAAAAAAAAATTTTAGCTACATACCCAATTTCTTGATATGCATTTTATCTCTTTTATGTAATGAAAAAAAATACAGATATAAATGTACCTATAAGTACTATTTGACTGTATCTCACATTTTCTGGTATATTATCTCATTGTTGAAACCATATTAAATAAACTATTGTTTCTATAATTTGTTCTTTGATCTAACCTTTCTGTAGTATTAAGTTACTTAGTTCTCTCCTAATGTTTTTAATCTTTGCTTCAAAGGCTCTTTATTGAGTGTAGTTTTTACTTTGGCCAATAAAAGATGTATTTAATATTTCTGCTTTTCTGCATTTATTTGTGAAAATTTTACACTTTAATATATGGTTAATTTTTGTGAATGTGCCATATACATCTATGAAATACATATAGTTCTTTCTACTCCAATTCAATTTTCTCAAGATGTTTAGCATATCTAACTTTTCCAAAATTATATTCAGGCCTTTTTTTTTTCTAATTTTCATGAAGTCATTTTCTTCCTTTGTTCCTTCTGATTCTTCCATTCTTATTTTTTTTATTCTATTAATCTAGACCTGAAAAGGGTATAATTAGACCCACCACTATTATATTTGTACTATCTATTTCTTCCTCTAACTCATTTAACTTTTTAAGAATTTAGACATTTTCCTTTGCTTCATATATGATTAATATTGATATTAACTCATTGTCTATGGTGCCGTTAAACAAAATCTATTTTTTCTGCTTTTCTCTTGGAATTAGTTTTTTGTTTTTGTTTTTGTTCTGTCTTAGATCATGCAACCCCTGCCTTTTTTACTTTACCTAAAGCCTAATAGATTCTGCTCTGGACCCTTATTTTTACCTCTGTGTAGCTTTCTATTTGTTTCTTGTGAACAACATATTGTTGAAGTCCCATTTCTAAATCATTTTTGTATCCTCTTCTGTTTTATAGGAGGTTTCATATAATTCACACTCTTTGTTTCCCTCCATCCTATTCTCTTATATTTATCCTACTCTTTTTTTCCTATCCCTCTTTAGAAAGTCTGTTTTCTTTCTGACTAAAGTCTCCTTCCTTTCCTCTTATTCCCCCTTTTCCCTCTTAATTCCTTGCTTCTTATTTGCTTGTTAGATAACATGTATTTCTATACCTAGCTGTGTGTGTAAGTATTCTTCCTTCTTCTATCAAATTGTAATGAGAATGAAGCTCAAGTGTTATCCACTCCACTCCCCCCCACTAACTTTTCTTTACATCTTTTTTCCCACTCCATTTATGTGAGATAATTTCTCCCATTGTCTCCCTTTCTCTATCTCCAGTGCATTCCTCTTCTCTACCTATTCCATTCTTTTTTTTTTTAATTAAGCAGACAAGAAAGAATTACACACAGGCCCTCTGTCGAATAAGACTCCCTCTGTGACCTCTAGTGGTGATAAAGTTCACAGGGACAACATGCATCATCTAACCAAATAAGAATGTTAACAGTTTAATCTTATTTAGTCTTTAATGATGTTTCATTCGTGTTTACCTTTTTATGCTTTACTTTACAGCTCTATTTGTACTTCAAATTTTCTTTGAGGAGAGGTCATTAACTCTTGTGTGATGTGTGCGGCTCCTCAGTACTTGATTCTTTTCTTTCTCGATTCTTGAAGTATTGTTTCCTTATCCTAGGGACTATGGATTTTGACTATAATACTCCTAGGAATTTTTGTTTTCAGATTTCTTTCATGAGATGACTTCTTTTATGATTTATTGAAATACGATGTCTAGGCTCTTTCTAATTGTTATTTCTGTTCATGAATTTCAGACAGTCCAGTGACTCAAATTATTTCTTCTTAATCTGTTTTCTAGGTCAGTTGTTTTTCTTCTGATATATTTCAAATTTCTTCAGTTTTTTTTTTATTTTGACATTATTTTATTACTTTTTGATGTCTTATGGAATCATTAGCTTCCATTTCATCAGCTCTAATTTTCAAGGAATTATTTTCTCTAGCAAGATTTTCTACATCATTTTTTCCAAGCTGTTAATTCTCTTTTTATCTCTCCCTAGTTCTTGCTTTTTTCCCCATTTTTCCTCTGTTTCTCTTATTTGATTTTTAAAAATAATGTTTAGTTTGTTATTTACCTCTTTCTGTAATACTTCTAGGAATTCTTATTGGATTTGTGTTCAACTCTATTTTTCTTTGAGTTCTTGCTTGTAATTGGGTGGGGTTTTTTTGAATAATTTTCATCTTTTGTGTTTGTGTCTTGAGATTCCCTATCATAGGAGTGTTCAGAAAAAAACAAGCACCTCTGGTATGAAGGCTTGCCTAGCCCTTTTCACAGCTGTTCATGCTCCTTTGTTGTCTACCTTTCACCAGCTCTCACCTGTGTCTCCAAGAAACTGTAGCATGTAAAGCAGCTCCATCCCAGTAAAGCCATTTCAGTAAAAATGCTACAACAGGTGGAGGTTCACCTATAGTCCTCAAACAAATTGGTAAGTTGAAAGAATGTCTACCTCAAACACTGAAAAAATTCCTCCAGAAGAATGGGCATACTATAAAAATTTGTTCCAATAGCCACAAAGGCAGCTAAATTGGGCATTGTGGAGCACTTAAAACTTAAGCATTGAAGATGTCTGCATCCCAGGCCATCACCAGTTGTCTTGACAACTGTCTTGCCACTGGACTCTGGTGACTCTGTAAGAGAAAGTGAGGCTGTTGTCTCTGTAAACCCCTGCCTCACTTTAATCCAATTTGTGTGCAAATCAAGACAGCACCCCATGATGTAATTGGTCCTTTTTGGAATGAAGGATAAAAACCAATAGCTCTTTATATTTGAATTTTTTTGTTTAATCTTTTATCCATCATCCCTCTGGATATTAGACATTTTGTTAAGCATGGTTTCTAGACACTGTGTCTAGTATTGAGCTTTTGTCCCCTTGGTCCTTCTGTTACATTCACAACTCTGGCTTGGGACCTGCAAACTTTCAGTGCTTCCCAAGTGGTTTGATCTGTGCTAAGGTTTTTCACTGCCCTCCTGGTCCAAATTCATCAAATTCCTGACCAAATTTGTGTCTATCAGCTTCTTTCTAGTTGGAGGTTTCAGCAGACTATTATTTGACTCAACCACCCATGGTCTATTGGGAGGCTCTGCTGGTTCAGAGGTACTGTACTACTGGTTCACCCTTTGTTTGGGACACTGGGCTCTGCTATGGGTATCAGAGACACACAGCAACTGGATAAAATGGATGCCTCAATCCCAGCTTCTACTCAGAACTTAATAATCAAGCATTTAAGGAGTGTCAATTCAGAATCAGAGGACCAAAGTTCAAATTTAGACTGCATTATTTAATAGCAGAAGTACTAAGATTGAGGATAATTTCATTGCTGTACTCCTTTCTTCCTTTCCCTAAAATGCAAAGACCATGAAACAGACTACACTCAGACTGGGTAGATTAATGATCTAGCTCATACCAGTAATGTTTTGTTCTTGGATAATACTTAAAGAAAATAATACTAATGTGAATTTAGGGTCTATTATAATGTCAGATAAATTGTGTTCTTGGCTTGGGCCAAGAAAATGTCTGCTGTATAATTACCAAGAAAAGTGGTAGGTTTTTGTTTTTGTTTGTGGTTTTGAAATGCTTTAAAAAATAAATCAGTTTCCAGGAACCAGCAAACATGTTAAACTAGAAAGAAGGGTAGAAAAAGTAATTTTTTCAATCTAACATCACCAAATCAGCCTAAGGAAAAATGACCAATACAGGAACTGTGAAACAGGAATGAGTATACAATGAAGACTATGGCTAAGCCTGGATTTCTGTCATTTAACTTACTTGTCAACTCAGCATTAGCACTCAAGCAGGGTTAGGCCCACAATAAGGTCACTCTGTATATGTGTTACATGATTATTATTTTTTTTCCTCTCTTTCCTTTTTTCTTCAATGGAATAGAAAGAATTGTGATGGGAAGAAGTGGGATAGGAAGAAGCAGAAGAGAAAATATGTGCTTGTGAACTAAAAAATAATTTTTAAAACAAAATTTCTATCATTTAAAATTTTAATCTGCTACAAATTAGTCTACTCAACATGAGCCCTCACTTTGTAAGAATTAACATCAAGAAAATGCAGCTATTATTTCTATTGTATTTGTTTTCTAGGACTTGAGACATCTTTGCAGTTTCTATGACTTTAATCTTTCTTGTGTTTTATTCCCAAATCATGTTTTCCAGTATAGTTTTTTTAATTGCCCTTTCCTATGTTTACCTTTTCATTAAAGTCACTTAGTGGCAAAGTGTATTAAAAAGGTCTTATCAAGTTCTAAGAGTAAATGTTGATTTTCTTTGGAGGAGCTTGTCAAATTCTTCATAGAATTTCTCCGTATCTGTATTCTCTGCTAACGATTTGTTCCAGAACCTGCAATTAATTTCATGTTAGTCTCTTTGTGTTTATCACAGGTAATATAAGAAAAACATTATCTAGTCCTTCATGAATTTATGTTTCTTCTTGTCTTTGGGTGAATAATGAATACTTTACCTTTCCAAAGATAACCTGGGAATTTTTCTCCATTTAGGTACAACTCCTCTACCTTTCTAATACCTTCTAAATCTGATGCTAACTACCCTTTCATACACATAGACACAAACACAAACACCAACACAGACACACACACACACACAAACACACACACACACACACACACACACACACACCACATTCCAGCTAAACTGGTCTATTTGATGTTCCTTGTACACAACAAGCCATTTCTTATCACCACAATTTTGTACAGGCTGTCATCAATGCCTATTCTTCTCAGCATCATATCATAGAATCTATAAATTCCTTCAAAGCTCAGTTCAAGCCTTATCTGATACAGGTAGCCTATCATGATTATCTAATTTTCTGGGGGAGTTTTCTTTCTGAGAAAATAATTTCTCTGCATTTAACATTAAATTTTCTAGATATATGTTGTTTTCCCTTAATTAGAATGTAAGCACTTTGAAAATAAGAGCTAAATTGCTTTTTTTCTTTGAATCTCCAGAATTTAGTACCATGTCAGCACTTAAATGTTAACTTGAACTTCATTTTGTCTTATGGTTTCATTTAGAATGACAATGGCAAAACTCATATAGTTTTGTTCTAAAACCATTTCAATTTAATTTCTTTGGGTAAAGATCTCACATCTAGAATATTTAAAGTTAACATACCTAGAAATTGTGTAATTCTTAGTTCTCTCTGCCCTTTTTTCCTCTCAATATAGAAACAGAAGAGTGTCATTTATAACCAAAGGGATTTTATATTTTAATTCATGTTTTTTGTTCTATGGATTCTTCTGATCTAGAATTTATCACCTTGTGGCCAACTTCACATTCATGAAATTTACAGAAAATTATAGGCATTAGATTGGAAATATTACCAAATATGTACATACATTGGGTATTCATGATAGTCCTATATTTCCATTTCCATATAAATGTATTAAATAAGTACTGTGATTCTTGTCTACTCCTAAAAATATCTAAATTATAAAGTATGAAAGAAATTTTTAAAAGGACCAAATGTAGAATTGTCAGGGGAAAAAAGGGAATAACTGTGGAAAGACATGAAGGAGGACAGAGAAGAAAAACAAGTGAGATGCATGAAGAAAGTTTCTAAAAAACCAGTTATTAGTTAGCCATAAAAAAACAGGAGAAAGAAAGGCAAAATTAATGTCTTGAAGAAATACTGGATTTCTTCAGATGATTTTCCCACAGCTGAGGTAAATGCATTTTTTGAATGAGGGCATTAGTCAAGTGTGACCTCAAAAATGGGAGAAAAGTTAAGATAGTCCTCTCCAAAAAAAAAAAAAAAAGTTTGCTCAGGTCTATGCAACTATAGAACTTTCAGTGCTGCTAAGATTAGAAAATATTTATCAGCAAGAACCACAAGGAACTGAGTTATCACCATTTCAACCAGGAAAATAATAGACCAAGCTGTAACCTTTAAACTACAACAGCAATAGTTAGCTGCTGTCACTGTCACTGTTTGTTGTCCTTTTTTTATTTGTTGTTTACTGGTATTCTCGCTGTTCTTTTGACCTCAAGAATCCACAGTATAGAAGAATCAATAACTAGATCTCAGGTAGCTTTGAAGTCCCCTCTGAAGTCACTTTTGCATGTTTTCTGTACACATATGACCACTAAAACATATATTAAAAAAAAAAAAACCTGGCACTTAGCAAAATGTTTTAAGTACATTATCTTAATTGGGACTCAAAGTAGCTCAGTAATGATACAACACAATGACTTTCATTAAGACTTAGAGATATGAATAATAATGGAGCTCAGTAACTTATAGCTGACTGTTTAGAAGGATAATAATTATATACATAACCTCAGAAGACTACATAATGTGTGACATTTGGATAATATACAAAGTGAACTATAAATCTAAATACAAAGATGTAAATTTGACCTCAAAGTTATCACAGATACTGACATTCACAAAGAATATCAAAGAAATTTTCAAAGAAATTATTCAAAGAAATAAATTTGATTTTTTTCAAAAAGGTTGTGGAGTATCATTGTGACTGACACACAGATTTATTTGGGATCTTTGTACATTTAAACCAGTGAGAGTCGACTGGCTCCAAGCCCACATTTTTGGTCTTTATAGTGACAAAAGGAGGGGAAAAAAACCCAACCCCAAACCCCCACACTCCATATCTGTCCTCTTTCCCTGGCCGTCACACTGTGGAGCATGCGGCCGCGGAGGAGGCCCCGATGGGCAGGAGGTGGATTGGAAGACTGGATCACGCGAGCGGGGCAGCAGCAGGGGCAGAGGGCTCTCGCCTCAACTCTGGTGGCAGGAAAGACGACTGGGAGGGGCTGGGCCCCCCCAACTGAGGAGGGGGTGTCCTCTTCAAAGCAGCAGCAGCAACGTGTTCAAGCGGGTCCCATTCTCGGCCTGTGAATCTTAGCTAAGTCGATATTTTGAATCAGGAAAAATAAATACATTCAGAGTGGATGAGTGCAGTCCTCCCCGCCGGGCCTTGGCATTGCGGTGGCGCATCATCTTTCGTGGTCCAGGCCAGGGGCTCACTCACTTCGCTTTCCTGCAGTCAGACATAAGTGCACCCCGATGCCCACCCGGGCAGGAGGCATCCTTGAGGCTGTTGTGGGGAGAGTGTCAGGATGCTGACAGCTATTGGAGTTTTAATCTGTTAAAACAAATACTTAACTTACCTTGAAATTTCATTCTTCAAAATATGGAAGAAATATTGAAAGAAAATTGTATTCCTGTATTCTGACTGCTAAGGAAGAACTTGTTGCATAAATTAAAATAATGGAAAACTTTGGAAAATGGAAAACCCATACCTTATTCACAGGCAAGATTAGATTTGGGAGATCAAATTTCAAATTCTTAAGCACAAAACATTTTGATTAAAATCTTTACTGTGATAAATTGGCTAAAGAGCAATGGGATAACTTCAAAAATAGAATTCTAAGGATATAAACACAATACTGTGTCTCCCATCTCTGTGCCTTAGCTCTTTCTGTCCCCTATGCCAAAGAATGCTCTTCCTGCCTCTTGGCTTCTTAGGATTCCTTCAATACCTGACTCAAAAGGTCTCTTCTGTGCCATGCCTTTCCTCATCCTCCCAATTTTCTAAGTAGCCTTTTTCTCTAGGTTACATTCTTTCACTTCTATATGTATCTTGTAATAATGTATACATGTGTTGTCTCCCCCATTCAAATATGAGCTGTTTGAGGAAATGGGCTATTTTTGTCTTTCTTTGTATCTTCTGGGTTAGTGATACTGGCTGGGATGCAGAAAGCACCTAACAATCTTGATGATTGTTAGATAAATGTATTTGGTGATGATAAAAAGGGATTGAGATTGCAAGTGAAGAAATTATTTGAACAGTTTAGATTTTAAAGACACATTCACAGAATATGGAAACAAGGATAGATAATTAATTAGGTGTGAATGCAAATAAGGACCACCTCTCCCCCAAACCTCTCTCTCTCTCTCTCTCTCTCTCTCTCTCCCTCCCTCTCTCTCTCTCTCTCTCTCTCTCTCTCTCTCTCTCTCTCAACTTACCACATACAACATGGGCTTGTTTTATTTTTTTAACTCTTATTTATCTATTTTTATTAATTTATTTTTATTTATCAACAATCACTTCTGTAAGGTTTTGAGTTTTAAATTTTTCTCCCTCTCCCTCCTTTCTTCCCTTCTCCCTCCCTCCCCAAGATGGCTGGCAATCTGATATAGGCTATACAAATACATTCATATTAAACATATTTTCACATTAGTGATGTTGTAAGGAAGAATTAAAACCAATAGGAGGAACCATCAGAAAGAGAAAACAAAACAAAACCAAAGAAAAAATAGCAAATAATATGCTTCGATCTGCATTCAAACTCCATAGTCCTTTCTTTGGATATGGATAGCATTTTCCATCATGAGATCTTTGGAGATGTCTTAGCTTGTCATGAATGTTAAGAACAAAAAAGAAGGGCTTTTAATTCTCTCATGGAGAAAAAAGAAAAATAAAACAAAACAAATGCATAACAAGAAAAAAATACATAATATGATTTAAAAAGTGATGATAGAGTGAAAAAGAAAAACAATTGCTAGTTTGTTTCAGTTTCCTATAACAAGGAGAATGATCTTTGTAAATGGAAAGATAGGGCAAAAATAAATAACAAGAAATTGAAATCCAAAATAAAGGAGGAGATCTAATGCAAGCAAGATTTAAAGTGCTCTATTTAAAGGCAGAAAATGTGGGTTCATATCCTTGCTCTTTTACTCTGCAATATATACCAAGTAATATCTTTGTTTCCTTATGTGCAAAAGTTTTGGATTAAAAGACCTCTGAAGTCTCTTCCATATCTAAATTCTATAATCCTATGATCTTCAATGATAAGAAAAGAGCAAGTTACCTTTTATGAATTCTAGACAATAAGGTCAAGGCAAACTATAATCCAGAGTATTGAAAAAAATAGAAATATGACAATCTGACTACTCAGTTTCTTTTGCTTTAGGTTATTTAGGAAAATTTTTTAAAAATTGAGGAAATACTGCAAGATTGGAAATAAACAAATATTATTCCAATTTTCATCATGGGAAAAAATGTAGATTATTAAAGCCCAAGGCATAATTAGGAATTTTTACTCTGTAAGAGACAGCACACAAATTGATGGAGAGGGGGACTGCATTGGTCTCTTTGTAGGAGATAA